TGCTGATGCTCAGGCACTGAGCTATAGCGATATTGCCTGACGATGCTAACCTAACCACAGATTAGAGCTCTGGCAACTGGCAACAAGAGACATGTGGATATCGTCGCCGTAGATCACGTAGGTGAAGCTAGCCCTGTAGCTGAAATTTACCATAGGTTTCATAAGCTGACTGCCCTTTTCGTCTGTTGCTTAGCAGAAAAGCTTAGGAAAGGTCTCGTCAGAGCGTTTGCCAGGTGTCGGCGCAACGAGACTAGCTATTCATGCGCGTTGAACGATTGTGGTTTTCGTCTTTCGTCATCTTGCATTCATATCTAGCTCCGGAGTGCTGGGTTATGAAAAATTAGCCTGTCAAGCTACAACTAAACATTGTACAAGTTTTTTTCTGCCAAGTATTTCTGTTGAACCTATGTTCATGTATGAGTTGGGAAACGTATGCTCAACTTTCGTCCTGAAAATTTTGGTTTTGCTTAAGTTTGATTGCCGTACTGGAGAACTGCCTATTTCGTCGAGCTGTAATTTGCTTGTGAAATCAATTCGAGTGTGTTAAGAAAGGCACGATGAACTTACTGCCTCTGTGACGTATGGATCGTTTTCAGCCAGCTGCTAAATTCAATACTTTCCATTAAGTGTGAAGCTGATATGCTAATTAAGCGTTCATTTCCTTAGGCTAAGAAATGTAAATGTTATAACCTATATAAATTTCATTAATATTAAATAACCGTCACTAATGCCGTAATAACTCATTCTCGTTGTCTTGTATCGTGTATTCACAGGGGAGATACTGTGACAATAGCAACAAAATCAGTCCGTAGCTACAACGCGTTTCAAACATTTCTAAGGATTTTACGATGCTAAAATGGTTATTCGCCTTTATCTGCGATGCAAACCAGCCAAGTTGTTCCACTTTCATAGAGGGAACAACAACTAACTCTCTCATATAATTGTTTTGTCATCGTCATCTGAGGTTAAAGAAGCTGAAACAGCAGAGTAATTCAGATATATGACGTTTGACCGCTACAAATGGTGCTTCAGATTGACATTAAGCCACGTTCTCCTCCACAGCAAAGCTCATATTCCTCTTCGCAATCAAGCCTGTCCCGACGATATGTCTCCAGGTATATTCAGCAATGTATTCCAACGCGTCTGCAGCCAGTGCACATTTCCAAAGCGAGAAAAGATTTGAATATATTTGCATTTCCTTTTTTGGTCGCTCTATCCCATCAAACCAGCCGGCGGTCTCTGAAATCGTATAAGAGCTTCCTCAAACCATTGGATAAGAAAGCGGTTAACATTAAATTAAATCTACGTGATATGGCCTTCAGCAGCAAATACTATGAAAGTAAGCAGGTATACACCTACGTCTTGAAGATATACAGTTTCATCTTTCTGTTCGGCTATTTGTTCTGTACCTTATAGTGGTGTAGCTTCTCCATTACGAACTTGCCAGAGTGGCGTGTTTACTTGCACGTTCTCTCTACCATCCCTCGCAACCGCTATCAAAAATTACCCAAACTCCTCGACCGCCATAAATTTGATTCTTAATACCTACAGAGGATGCTGAGTAGACTTTCTGGAGCATGCACTGTCTCCATTTTGGTCAGGGTAGCGTTCATTCTTGTCTCATCGCAGGTGGCAGCGAACTGACCAAGTGCAGGTTAGAAGGCTGTGTTGCAGGAAACACATTACAAGCGCATTCTTGAATATCATGTGCATTTCAATCATTCGAATATCCGCAAATGTGCTGTTGTCCATTTCAAAAGTGTATCTGCTTCCGCTGAGCAAGCCCGTAAAATTATTAGTAACGTAGACGTCAATATTTCCTGTCGAAAAGTATCGATTTTCTATGTTTCTGCTGGAATAGACCCCGAAGCAAGTTATTAAAGATTTGATTGTTCCAGTAGCAGCCATCTGCGCAGTTGTTGCCGTACTGTCCGAAGCTTCGGTCTGGACATCTGCCTTCAGCCTTCGCAGGACAGTGAATAGGCATAGACCTCCTTGGCATTTTCTGAAGTATTGTTCACAGACGTGGAAAAAGACTAAAATCTCATCAACAGTGCTGCCGCTTGAAAGAAAGCCACAATGTTCGTTCTGAACCTTTTGCTCTGTTATTTTTCCACCGGCTTTCCAACCGATGTAACTATGATCTGATTAATATTTCAGCATTTCAGCCAGACGTACCTAAATAGAATAAATTCATTTTACAAATTGTGCTGCTCTCACAGCAACAGTTGCCAACAAAAATATGAATGTTAATCAGATCGAAATTTAGGAAATCTGCGCCTGAATATTGAAATTATTTTGGCTCCGCCTTAATGCCAGAAAATATTCTTTTCCTTATCATCATACAGTCGTTTAGACTTGCCGCTTTGCATTCTCGCTAACATTCAGGATAGTTATTAAAAATGACCTCTGTCCACTTAAAGAATTTCAGCGATTGAATATCTGTGTGCAGTTCAGATATGTTCGGTTTCAGCATCCGAGGCATATGCAACACTCCTTAGCTCAAAATCATTCTAAAACAAAGGTAGATGTCAGTATTTCGAGGCTTTATGCATAATAGCAGGGTCAAGCGCCGAGACTCGTCGACGACAATAGCGACTTAATGGATTATCGAATTTAATCTGGTCGTGGAGGTTATTAGTTCGAAATCCGTCGCACCATTAATGATCTCATATCGTGGGCATGCCACACTGATGTTCGAAGTTCACAGGCGACAGAAACCTGGAGTCTCTGAAGAAGCTCTGACTGGACGGGGGCTTCTTCAAGCTGCAACAGGCGTCAAGTCAAAATTGGGTAAATGTCCAGAAAGTTTAGAAGCATCGTACACTGGCTGTGGACCATTTAGCAAAAGCTTCTTTGGTTTTAAAGCTTTGCCAAACGTGCGTTAAATGAGAATTTCTATCCTTGCCTTTGCCGTAGTTTATGTTAATGTCATGAATCTTAACAATGCGAACAAGCCGATTAAACTGTGACCTATCATTGAATAGTAATGCATTTCTGATTGCCGTTCGATGTCCATTTAAGCGTGTTAAAAATTCATGTAATAAACTGAAACGGACCGACCGGTGGTTCGTTTCAAGGGAGGATTGTAGACGTCGTGTGAGTACAACG